GTGGGGATCCAGCCTGCAACCCGGGCATGTGCCCCGACTGGGAATCGAACCGCGACCTCCTGGTTCATAGGTTGACGCTCAACCACTGAGCCACACTGGCCGGGCAGGATTTTTTTTTTTTTTTTTTTTTAATGATATTACATGTCTGTGCATCCAGGAACAACTGCCCCAAACACACCACACGACTGGGCCACCACAAGCTTACTTCTCACTCGTGCAACACGTGCTCCTGCTGTCCTCCCCGAGGGCCCCACTGGGACGTGCCAGTCCCTGCTCAGAGGAAGGGAGCTGGAAGGACCATGACCTACTCCTGCAAGGTTCCCACTTGTTACTTCGGCTCCGGTTCCACCGGGCAGAGCCTGGCCCGTGGCTAACCCCAGAGGCAGGGGTGTGTAATCGTTAGTGGGCCTGGGAGAAGGGGGAAGTGTGGACTCTGGTGGAAAGCATTGGGTAACTGATTCACCATGGAGTGTCCGTTCTGTGCTGAGCACCAGGAAGAAATACAGTTCAGCAGAGCCCGTCCTCCCAGAGCGCACCCTCTGACGGAAATAGAGAAACAAGAAAACTAAATCCAACGAGACGAGTTCTGACAGAGAGGGGGCGCTCGGAGGGGCCCCTGACCAGAGCCCGGAGAGCAGGGAAGGCTTCAGGGAAAGATGTCCACGCTAAGTAAGGCTGGGTGCAGGGTTCTGTTGGGGGGCCCACCACCGGAGCCCCATCTTGCAGGGAAACCCCAGGGAAAGGGAGTCTTCTGCTCTTCCCTCCACGGGGAAATGAATGTGGGTTCCACTAGCAGGGTAGACCTTTCTGGGATGACCCTGGAGGAGAAGGGGCGGAGGGAACAGAGGTCCCGCCTCCCTATGCTAGAGGGGATCCCCTCTTCAGTGCCACCAGCCCCTCTAAAGGGATGGGTGAGCTTAAAGCTGGGGGGACTCTGGGAGCCAGGAGATCCTCAAACTCATCTCCTGGCTGTGACCATGTTACCAGCAGGAGACTGAGGGGCGGGGGCAAGAAGCAGCTGGGTCCGGGGGACCAGGTCACCCAGACCTGGTCTATCTCTAACATTTGATGTGTCTACATCTAGGAAGAGACCCAAGAAACTGTAACTATGGTTACAAAGTGGGCCTTTGGGAGACAGCTTTGGCCAAGGGGAACTGATTCTTACTTTTGTTTGTTCAGTCTAAGCAAAAACTTTTTTTAAAAGTACATCGGGCGTCCCCCCAGGGTCTGCACCTGGCAAGTTTTGTCTAAACAGTCAGTGGTGAATGCCGAGCCTGGAGGATTCTTCAGGCTGAGTCTGGGCTGCTGGGTCTCAGCCAGCTTCTAGGTTCCCAAGGCAGGGCCAGGGGGTCCCCGGGAAGCCAGTGAGAGCCAGAGAATGGCCAGGCACAAAGGGAGGTGGGAGAATGGCTGCTGCTGTGCCTGGTGCTCTGGCGCCCCCTCATGGACACTGTTCTCACGCTCCTGGGAGAACAGGAGGGCCCACTTTTATTTTAAAAATCTGATTGCTTGGGGTTTAAAAAACATGGGTCCGGACCAGGTAAAGGGCCACCTGGTTGCTTTGGGGCCCCCAATAGGCAGCATTTAGTGTCAGCAGCTCTTCACGACGCCTTAGGAAGCACAGGCACCCAGTGGCCAGCAGGCACCCAGTGCCCACACTAAAATGCTTCACTTCATTCTCCCAAACCTCAACGTCTGCACCATCATTATCCTCTTAAAATCTAGGGAAACGGAGACCCAGGAGGTAAAAATTAAAAAAAAAAAACTGCACTCAGGGTACACAGCCAGAAGTGGTGGCATTAGGACTCAGCCCTGGCCTCACCCCTCACTCTATAAGGCTCAGTAATTGTACCTTCCTGTTCAGTGCTGGCCGTCATTCCAGAGACTTCCAGGCTCCATGCTTAATAGCTGTGAACCTGTTTCCTTATCTGTAAAGTGGGTAGGGCTTTTGCAATGTTGACAGAAAATCCCAGGAACCTCAAGCCCAGGTAAACCAGAGCTGGGCACCGTAAATACAGGGGAAATGGAGGCCCACCTTAGTGGTCACCCTCGAACCACATGCATAAAAAGCACCCATGGGCCCTGTTTTTTGACTCAAACAGCAACACGTGCTCTGGATTTTTTAAAATATTTTATTTATTTCAGAGAGGAAGAGAGGAGAGAGAGAAATATCAATGACGAGAATCATTGATGGGCTGCCTCCTGCATGCCCTGCACTGGGGATCGGAGCTCGCTAATGGGGCATGTGCCCTGACCAGGAATTGGACCTTGACCTCCAGGTTCATAGGTTGACGCTCAACCACTGAGCAATGCTGGCTGGGCACACGTGCGCTGGATTTTGAGCCCATTTTGAAATGTTTGTTACTTGCAACTTTAATGTTAGCACACACTTGAACAATCACTGTTGTGCCAGGCAGCCCTGTGTGCTTTAGAAACATGACCCATGTCATCCTCACATCCTTAAACGGTACGATCCCCACTGTACAGATGAGGAAATTAAAGCTGACAGATGTACTAAGGGCCCAAGGTCACAACTAGAAAGTGCCAAAGCTGGGATTTGAATCCAGGCCATCTGGCTCTCAGTCCCTACTCTTAACCATTATGCTTTATTGTCTCATATTTTAAGTGAAAAATGCTTGGTTTTTTTATGTATATGTTACCAAACGTTGTGTCAGAAATCACTGTAATGTACTCTGGCCAGACCATGTTTTAAAACAAACATCTGCTTTTGCTCTAGACTTGACGTTTCCATTACATCATTGATTGTCAAATAAATACAAAACTGACATATTCATGTTTAAACATCTACGTGAAAAATCGTTGTTACAGCATCCAAAAATATACAAATGCCTTCTTTCATGAGCTGATCTCTTTAGAATACTGGTCTTGGTGCACGCCTGCCCCTCCTGTGAGCCCCACGCCCCGCCCCCTCCAGCCCCAGCCAAGCTAGTGGCTCCTCCGTTGGTCCCTCCACAATGTGCCTGCCATAGTGCCATCTACCCTGGGGCACAGTGACTGTGCCAGGGCAGTCTTCCCGAGCCGCACCTTCTCAGGACCAGGACTGTCTCCCCTGAATCCTGCCCCTGCCACCACTCACTGACACGTGCCTCTGAGCTTCAGCTTCCCCCTGTAAAATGGAGGTGACACAGTGCCAGCACCCATGACACTGGGGGATCAAGTGCATCCCACTCTACAAATGTGGGGTGACGGGGCGATAGCCATCACTGGCTGAGACCCAGGTGAGCGGGCTCCCTGGAGAAAGACCCCTCTTCATCTCCAAGAAATGCAACCCGCTACTGCAGGGTTAGAGCTCACGTGCCAAACAAGGAACAGAGGACCAGGTCTGCAAAAGACACGGCCCTCGCCGAGTCTCCACCTGAGCAAGATGAAAGGAGAAGAGGAACCGGAAATGCTCACCATCCAAACAAGAGAACATTTCCAACAGCGTTACCAAAGAAATGGACTTTGAACACAAGTGAGTCACAGGAAATGGATCTGGCTGCTCTCATCTCTCCATTTCCCTGAAAGGTGTAGCCGGAGAGCTTTCAGCAGCTGGAAATTGCTGCTCAAAGATACTTTAGATTCAACAGTGACCCCACTGCAGCCCCAAGTTTTCCTGTTTGTGGTTTTAGAAAGATCAAAACCCTGACTTTTCACTTCTTCATGACTGTCTTCATTTTTACTTACTGGTTATTTTTAAACATTTTATATGCTAATAATTTTATTAGAATAAAATGTTTGCCGAAACCGGTTTGGCTCAGTGGATAGAGCGTCGGCCTGCGGACTGAAAGGTCCCAGGTTCGATTCCGGTCAAGGGCATGTACCTGGGTCGCGGGCACATCCCCAGTGGGAGATGTGCAGGAGGCAGCTGATCGATGTTTCTCTCTCATCGATGTTTCTAACTCTCTATCTCTCTCCCTTCCTCTCTGTGAAAAATCAATAAAATATATTAAAAAAAAAAAAAAGAATAAAATGTTTAAATATACTTCTAAATTCCTATTTTGCTTGAGGCTTTATATTACTAAATGTATTTAAATATAAAATATTTTACTTCACTGATTTTTCTTTAATTTTGTGAATTCTAGCTTTTTAAAAGAAAATTATACTCAAATTGGTATTTCAACATGAGGCATATCAATGAGCACAAGAATGGCATTGTTCATGTCTCCAGTACTGCTGTACGATGCTTTCTACCACTCAAACCTCACAACGTGGGGTGACGAATCCTACGACCTCCAGAGAGGTCAAGTGCTTTCCCCAAGGCCACACAGCGCGTGGGCGGTTCCTAGGAGAGACCCATCTAGACTTCCAGCATCTCTGCCTTACCTACTTTGCTGTATGGCCCGGTAGATATCCATAGCCCTGAATACTAAATCAGCCTCACCTCACAGCCAGGTTCACCGTCCTAGGCACTTCACCATCAGTGGCTCATTTATCCTAACACAACCAGTGCCATCTCTATTACAGACTAGTAAACTGAGGCACAGAAAGACTACGTGAATCCAGCCAGTCTAACTGCAAAACCGTATCTCCTATCAGAAAGGATATATGCATCCCTATGTTCATAGCAGCACAATTCACCATAGCTAAGATTTGGAAACAGCCTAAGTGCCCATCAACAGATGAATGGATTAGAAAATTGTGGTACACCTACACAATGGAATACTATGCTGCTGTAAAAAAAGGAATTCTTACCATTTGCAACAGCATGGACGGAACTGGAGAGCATTATGCTAAGTGAAATAAGCCAGTCAATGAAAGAAAAATACCACATGATCTCACTCATTTATGGATAATAAAGACCATTATAAACTGATGAACAAAAATAGATACAGAAGCAGAACAGCATCGAACAGACTGTCAAACTACAGCAGGAAGGCTGGGGAGGGTTGGGGGCGGGGGTAATAGATCAACTGAAGGACTTGTATGCATGCATATAAGCATAACCAATGGACACAAGACACTGGGGGGTAGGGGAGGCCGGGGGAAGGTCAAGGGGGAAAAAAGGAGACATGTGTAATACTCTTTGTATTATTTTAAGCAATAAAACAAATTTAAAAAAAAAAAAAAAACGTATCTCCTGCCCAACCACACAGCTGCTGGGTCAAGCTCACCCCCTTACAAAGACCTCCACACACACTGGGTCCAGCTGAACTGTCACCAGGGCCAGCAAGACAGCAGCTCTATCATCCCCAAGAGCAGCTGAGGAACCCGGAACCCAAAAGTGAGGGCCTAAGTGGGAGAGCGGGTCAGACACCCAGCAGAAGCCTCCACGTATCCACACACACGGCTTTATTATGTCAATGAACCCCAAAAGCACACTTTCGGGACCTGTCTGGGCTGACGCCAGAGGCAACCAGCAGAACAGGCACTCCTTCTGTGGGGCAGGTGGGCCCCTCCACCCCCGGCACAGAGGCGAGCTGGAGGGAAGTTCAAGACGACAGTGACGGGCAGGCATCTCGGGGGCGGCATTCCTGCTGTGGGCGCGCAGGCGGCGGGGCTCACTTGAGGCGGTAGAGGACCTTGCGCTGCATGCGGTGCTGGATTTCGCCGCGCCGCAGCATGAGCTGCAGGACCTTGTGGATGGCGTGCTCTGGGTATTTCTGCGGACACAAGGCCGGATGCAGAAGTCTGCTTCCCGAGGAGACCCCAGGCACCCACCGACCTGCCCCCTGGGCCCTGCAGAGCCCCCCGCAGAGCCCACGTGTCCCCCTGCTCACAGGGAACTGTCCATCACACCCCCTCTGATCACAGGACTCACACTTCCTGAGCACCTAGCACGCACCACGGGCTGTTCAGTCTTCACAAACAACTCGTTCCATCGCCACAACAACGCTATGCAGCTGGTATACAACCATCCCCTCCTTACAGGGGAGGAAACTGAGGCACAGAGCTCGGTCACACAGCAAGTAAGTGGTAGAGCTGGGACTTAAATCACATCCGTCTGACTCTAGAACCGAAGCTCTTCACATCTGCAAACCTCTCTAAGCCTCGGTGTGCTCACCTACAGAACGGACGTCGTACTACCCCCTGCAGAGAACTGCTCTGAGGGTCAGAACGAGAGGGGAGCAGAGGCCAGGAACTGGCACTGTTCCTGAGACGTAAAGATGGTGGCAAGTTCTCCGTAACATCTGGAAAGCCAGCTCCTCTCTGGGGTCAAGAACACTGTCTCCAGGGAGCTGGGAGGCTCATCCTCCTGGCTCTGCCTGTCCTCTCCCCACAAAAGCCGGGCAATGGCGGGAAGTGGACAAGGGCCTGGGGAAAGCTGGGTGTGGTTCCACCAGGACCCCAGCCACTGTCCCCCTCCCCTAATGAAATAGAAAAACAGCCCAGTCCCAAGGGGAGGAATGATGGGAAGAGCTCTGGGACGAGGACCAGCTGCCCCACAGCCTGTCCGTGGACAATAGGACTCTTGTGTTGTGGGCGGGAACTGGACCATGGCAGCCACGAGGAGACCCTTGTACCCTCCCCACCCCGCCCGGCCCGGCCCAGCCCCAGGGAAGGCCCACCTGCTTGGTGAAGTCCTGGATGATGCTGTGCTCCGACACCTGGGAGCCGATGGCAAAGCGGCGCTTGAGCTGCTTCTCGATGCGGCTCAGCATCTCCTGGTCCTCCTGGCTGGTGAAGCCCTCCACCCCTGTGGGCACGAGAAGGGAGACGGTGGGTGGGGACGGGTGCTGGGATCTCAGTCGGCCCACAGTGGGAGGCTTGGAGATGGAGCCTCCAGCCCAAGGAAGAGTGGCTGGAGCCAGACCCAGAAGAAAAAATTACGGGAAGAGAAACAGTGTGTGCCAGGGAAGTGAGGGCCCGACTGAGGAGACGACTGGGGACCTGAAGTCGGGGGACGGGGCTACCGTGTGGGGAAGGATGCTTCAGGCAGAGGCAACGGCAGGCACAAAGGCATGAGGTAGGAACACGTGTGGCTGCTTCGAAACCCAGGGCAGGGGGCCAGAGTGGTACCCAGGGGCCAGGTCCTGTGGGCCCTGTGGCCCTCGGCACAGGTTTCGTTGTGATTCTGGCGAGAGCAGCTGCCACTGGAGGCCTCTGAGGACAGACAGGAGCTGACTCTGTGAGAAAGCTGGGTGTCAGTTTTCTCCTAAGACGAGAAGGATGAAGTGGCCACTGGCTCCCAGGAGCCAGCTGTAAGACGGGAAAGAGCTTCACGGGGTGCTGGCTACGGTTCTTGGCCAATGATCAACTGCACCCATTCCTAACGAACTGGCTCAAAGGACTGTGCTCAAGGGTCTGGAGAGAAGCGGCTCTTCCCATCGGGAGGAAATGCCAGGGGGAGAAACAGCAAGGAAGCAAAGGCAGGAAAGCAGCCACACCGGGGCCTCCAGCACGCCGCCCAGCCCTCGGAGCCCTGAGCCCGCAGCCCCGCTGCTCACCTGACAGGGTGCCCGACAAGGCGGCGTCCAGCGTGGACACCTGGAAGAGCCTCAGGGCCTCCTCCACGTCCGCCTCCGTGGCGAAGGGCTGCAGCCTCATCTTGCTGAGGGCCTCGGCGATGCGCACGATGGCCTCCAGCTGCCTGTGTGGGGCAACGGGACACCAGGGGGGCCTGAGCCCATCTTCCCTCCCGGCCCTTCCTGACATCAGGGCAGTACCTGCCCAAGGTGGTAAGACCACAGGGGAGACTGCTGGGTGCCCCCTGCCCTGTCTGCCTCTCCTCCTCAGTAACGGGACTTTTATTCCACCACGTGACACCCAACTGGAAGACATTTCCCAGCCTCCCTTGCATCTAGGCATGTCTGTGTGAGTGAGGTGTGGCCAATGAGTCATAAGTCCAAACACTTTGTGGGATATTTAAGTGTCCTTAGCCCTGACCAGTGTGGCTCAGGTGGTCGCCAGCTGAGAGGGAGGCGACTGTTTACACTCCAAAAGGAGCTCCCCTACCCACCTTCCCTAGGGCCTGGGCTGTGTGGTTAGCGATGGCCCGGCCCCGATGGCCCGGCATGCCCTGCTCTACAGTGAGGCCCGCGCCCAGCCCTGCCCGCCGGCTCACCGCACAGTGATGGGGATGCTAGAGCGCCGCTCGCTGTCCCTCTCGTGCTGACGGGCCCCGCTGCGCATGAGGATGTACCGGTTCTTCAGCTTCTCCGCGGCCTCCGCTGACAGCCGGGGGCCACACTTCCTGCGGAAGGGGAAGGAGCAGCTGCCATGAGGCCGGAAGGAAACGTGGGGCACCCTCCCTGCCCTCAGCTGGCTTACAATCACGTGCTTGCCCCCAACGGGCTGGGTGCACCCTTTAGAAGAGATTTAAGTAAAATCTGGGCTCAGACAGGTGCCTGAGGTCAACAGCAGGAGAGAAAAACAGGTGCCTTGTCAGAAAATGGGCAGAGGGAAGCCAGGCCCGTCTGCAGGGGTGAAGACTGCCCTCCTTACTGCTGGGTGGCATGCGGCTCAAGTCACGAAGCGAAGGTTGCCTGCCCACAGAACAGAACGACGGCACCACCACGCAGCGCGGGGCCCACTGGACAGCGGGCTCACAGCCGGCTTCCACCCAAACTACCCCCCAGCCAACACAACTGAGGATGCGATGCTCACCGCCGCCCCAAGAGGCTTGGCAGTGACTGCTGTCCAGGGACAGGGAGCATGTCAGACTCTCCCAGGAGGGAGGGGGATCAGGTAGGTCCTATTCCCTCCCACACACCACACAGGTCGACTGACAGTCACTGATCCTAATCCAACCCCCATCCTGAGGATGAGGAGGCCAAGGCTGGATGGAAGGAGCCAGCTCCCCACGGCTGTGAGGAGCTCGGAACCGTGATGAAGACCCAGAAATCACTGGGTACCACACCACCCAACACCCAGTGCAGGTGGTGAATGGGACCCGCCGGACTTTAGCGTTTCCCCTCCCAAGGCAGGGGCCCTCAAAGATTCTTCCACTCTCAGGCTGTAGCTCCAACAAGACACAACCGAGGTGTCTGTCAAGACCGGTCTGGCTCAATGGATAGAGCGTCGGCCTGCAGACGGAAGGGTCCCGGGTTCGATTCTGGTCAAGGGCACATGCTGGGGTTGCAGGCTCAATCCCCAGTGGGGAGCGTGCAGGAGGCAGCCAATCAATGATTCTCTCTCATCACTGATGTTTCTCTCTCCCTCTCCCTTCCTCTCTGAAATCAATAAAAAATACACTTAAAAACAAACAATAAAATACCTTGGCAGAGTGGCTAAAAGCACAGCCTCTGAGCCTGGTACTTGGGTTCAAATCCTGGCTCCACTACAACTCCTACCTGTGACCTTGGACAAGTTATTTAACCTTTGTCTGTCAGCTTCCCTATCTATAAAATAGAACAAAAATACACCAGTTTCTTAGGTTTTAGGGAAGAGCTAAATTTCACTTGTCCATAAATACTGAGAGTAATGCCAGGCACAGAACAAGTACCCTACATATGGTTACTATTATTGACCATCTGTGAGAATAACAATAAAGTTGCAAGGGCCATTTACTGAGTGGTTACGTGATGCAGGGCTGTGCTGAGTACTTACTCATCATCTTGTGCAATCCTTACAAAACCCCAGGGAACACCAACCGAGGGAAAGCAAGGCTCAGAGGTCAAGTGACTTGCCCAAGGTCACACAGTGGGGGTGGGCAATAGCCAGAGCCTGTGTCTACAATGACCACACTGCCCTGCCTCCCTGAATGTCAGGTGAGGGGGTGTCCTTGACACCACCTAATCCTACGCCCTCATTTTGGAGTCGGGGACACTGAGGCCGACAGCCCGAGTGACCTGTGTAAGGTCAGACAGGAGTGGAGCAGATTCACGGAACTAAAACCCCAAAGGACAGCATCATCTCAGACGTCCTTTATGAGGAGCAGGCCCAGGGGACAGGGCTCTCTCCGCCCAGGGAGCCGGGGGGCCCCAGCCCACGGGCCAGCATCCAGGACTCACGCTCGGCAGTAGGCGATGAACTTCTTCAGCTTGGTCAGGTCCACCTCCCCCTCCACCGCCTGGGTCTGTGTGAGCGCGCTCACGTGCAGAGTGATGACGTGTTTGGCCAGCATCTAGGGCAGAGGGGACCCTGGGTCAGCTGGGAGGCCCTCCTAAGCCTGGGTCCCCACAGAGGTCCGGCAGGCAGGGAGGGAGCCTGCAGACCCAGAACCAATGGAAAGGGGGAGGCCTCCTCCTCCTCTGGGCTGTCAGCTGCTAAGACAAAAGCCCGGAGCTGCCAGGGCCTCCTCTGCCACCAGAGGGAGCAGCTGCCAGGAAACAAGACCCCCCCATGGAGAGCAGAGCAGCAGACAGGAGTCTGAGGACACCAGTGGGGCCTCAGACCTCTGGGCTGGTCCATTCCATCAGCCACCGAGTTCCTTTCAGAAATTTACAAACCAGAACTAGGTGGGGTTCTATCACTTGTACCCAAATGTCAACTCCCCATTTCACATGAAAGAGTCTGGGCCAGGAGGAGAGATTCACCCCCAATCACTCACAGGGAGGCAGAACTCTGCACCCTGGTCCAGTGCTCTCTGCAGCCCCCATCTGCCGCCTCCTGGGCTACCCACTATGGGCCCTACCGGATGGTCAGGACTCCTGTCAGGCCCTGTTCGCCCTCCCCCAGAACCGTGGGCCTGGCTGGAGCCGAGCCCGTGCACCCTGCGGCCCTGACTCACCATGTCCCTCTCCTCATTGTGCTCGTCTTTGACGATGAAGATCATGTCGAAGCGGGACAAGATGGTAGGCATGAAGTCGATGTTGTCCTCCCCCTTCGTCTCATCCCAGCGGCCGAACACCGAGTTGGCAGCAGCCAGCACGGAGCAGCGGGAGTTGAGGGTGGTGGTGATCCCAGCCTGAGGAGTGGGGAACAGATGACAGATCAGAGATGAGGACCCCGGACACGTATGCGCACAAGATGCTAGACCTGCTGCTGCCGCCAACGGAGGCCTGGGCAGGCAGGGCTTGGCACAGTGCTCAGAGCACCCTGGGCTCGGCCAAACCAAGCTGGACCTCAGCCGACTGGGCTTGCAGGACCACCCACCTTGGCGATAGAGATGGTCTGCTGCTCCATGGCCTCGTGGATTGCCACGCGGTCATCTTCTCGCATCTGTGAGGGGAGAGAGCATCCATCAGACCAGGCGAGGGTGGGGGCAGTGGCAGGAGAGCTACAGCACGCCCACTGCTGGTCCCAGCTTCATGCCAGGCCAACGGCAGGAACTGGGTCACCTCTCATCCTGGTAACAACTGAGTGGGCTTGGCTCTCCTCTCCCCACGCTCCAGATGTGGAAACTGAGGCTGGGAGAAGTCAAGCTACTTCCCAGTTACCCTATAGCGACAGGCAGGGGACTGAATACAAGTCTCCAAGTCAGAGGTGGTTCCTAGGTCCAGGCATAGAAGACCACACCCCCTGCCTTGAGACCACTAGGTGCCACCTACCTTTCAGCCACCACCTCACCCTGTCAGCCTCACCTTGTCAAACTCATCGATACAGACGACCCCGCCATCAGCCAGGACCATGGCTCCGCCCTCCATGATGAAGTTCCGAGACGAGGGGTCCCTCATCACCGAGGCTGTCAGGCCTGCCGCGCTGCTGCCTTTCCCAGATGTATACACCTGGGGAGGGCCAGGGAGGAGGTGTCAAGGCCCAACACAGCTCCATGCTGGCCCCCAAGTCAAGGGGACCAGAAAGCTGTGACTCACACAAGGTCACACATCACAGCTGGCCACAGGGCACAGACAGAACGCAGGGAGCCTCCCGCTGGATGAGGACACCCCGGCCTATCCGGCCTGGAGGGTCGCCCCACTGGGTGGTTCACATCCATTACACTCTGAGCCTGCCTCAGCTCCGAGCCTCAGCAGAGCCCCGCCATGATGGCCCCAGGAACCAGCCCTTAGGGGCCTGGCTCATCACAGAGGAGCGAAGTGAGGCCCAGAGGAGAGGAGTGGCCCACTTCCAAGTGGCCTCAAAGCTGGGACAGACTTGTGACTCCCAGGAAAAAGCTTCCCGACCCCGAGTCCCATGTCATCTTTGAATAGACCTGCAGGCCACATGCTGTCACTGAGCCTTTGCATGGTGGCAAGTCCAAACTGAGAAGAGTTTAAGTGTAAGATTTCAAACTTAGTGCTAAGAAGGGAACGTAATGTATCTCCTGGCTATTTTCTTAGGTTAAGCTACATGTTGAAATATCATAAATATGTTGGACTAAACAGAATATTAGGATTAATTTCACCTGACTTCCTTTTTCCACTTTTTAACATGGCTACTAGAACATCTAGCATCACACACGTGGCTCACATGTGCAGTTCACACACATTTCTATTGGACAGCCCTGGCACGAGCACTTGTCGCACACACTTCCTACCTACCCAGAGACCACCCCTCCCACCTGTACAACCCGTTCCACTGAACACGCAGGCACCCTCGCCCCACTCTGATCCCCAGACACGCTCATCACTGCAGAGGCCCCAGCCTACCAGGCACCTGCGTTCAAATCCCTGCGCTAGCACTTACTATACTAGCAAGACATGTAGCTATTCTGTACCGTTTCCTCATCACAGGACGGGCTCACATACCTACTGCAGAGTCGAGGTGCACGTTTAAGAGTAAACAGACGGACACGTCAAGCAGTGGCTGGCCCTTGAGTTTAGCCATGACTATTACCAGCGTTATGATTTAGTGGGCGGATAAACTGAGGCTCAGGGAACAGAGGTGACTTGCTCAAGGCCCACAGCCAATGACTGGCCAGGCTGAAACCCCAACCCCAACCTGCCTCACATCCGGTGCTCTGCCCGCTACCCCAAAACTACACCCACCTGTTGATTTCCTTCCCTCTCCTCCTGTGCTACCTGCCCACAACCAAGGGGAATGAGGAAGAGATTCTGGGCGATCCTGCCCACCAAGAGGACCCGGGGGACCTGGTGGCCCTGCCCTCGGCCTTCCTCCCTGCTGGGCAGCCACGGAGAGCAGCTCCTCAGTACTCACCCCAATGGGAGAGCACTTCTCCACAAACTTCAGCAGCTGGGACTTGGCCGTCCCCGGGTCCCCCAGCATCAGCAGGTTGATGTCTCCTCGGCGAGTGAGTCCATCAGGGAGCCTAGGGAGGACACGCAGGTGGGCAAGGCAAGAATCACCCGAGGCCTGGGCTCAGGCTGTTCACAATGGCAGCAGGCAGTCAGCCCCCTGACCTACCACGGGCCTCAGAGCAAGTGGGGAGGCAGGGGTCTGGGCTGAGACCACGCTCACAGCCCCGTGGTAACTTGCCTCCCAGGGAGGGGGGGGTCAAAGGAAACTGGCACTTCGGGCTGGGCTGGGGCACACAGTGAGCCTCGGATAACCACCCTCGTAGCTGGGCAGAAGGCAAGCAGGGGAGCCGCCAGTGGGCTGTGCGTGGAAGTGGCCTGGGAATCACGTGGGCAGGCTCCTGGCCCTCCATGTGCCTGGGAGCAAGTTCCCCTAGGTCTTTATGCTTCAACTGCCCCAGCTATAAAATGGGAGTGATCGTAGCCTTCTCACAGGGTTATGAAGACTGGCTGGGTTTCAGACACATTAAAGCACTTAGAAAAAGGCCTAGCTGACAGTAAGAATCAGTAAGTGGCAGCTGCTAGTCATTATTAATTTCTGGATCTCTATTACTTTATCGTTTCAAAGGGCATGCGACGTCCTGTGTTGGATCTTTCACCTGTCGTCCATGTGGAAGCGTGGGTTGAGAGGTGGTGTCTTTTGCCCAAGGTCACACAGTAAATAAGCAGCATGGCAGACTGCAAGCCCAGAGCCCTCCCCACTATGCCCGCCAGGTCCCCCACAGCCCACCCCTAGCCAGGGCTGGGGATGGGTCTCTCTGGAGAGAGGATGGATCAGTCCCCAGCCAGCTGACAAGGAGCCCGTGAGAGCAGGCAGGGCTGAGAGTCTGGGGAAATAAGGATTCATGCCAAAACCGGTTTGGCTCAGTGGATAGAGCGTCGGCCTGTGGACTGAAGGGTCCCAGGTTCGATTCCGGTCAAGGGCATGTACCTTGGTTGCGGGCACATCCCCAGGAGATGTGCAGGAGGCAGCTGATCGATGTTTCTCTCTCATCGATGTTTCTAACTATCTCTCTCCCTTCCTCTCTGTAAAAAATCAATAAAATATATTTTAAAAAATAATAAAAAATATAAAAAAGAAATAAGGATTCATGTCCTGACCATCTGACAACTGTTCTCCTGTGAGCCAAGTCACCGTCCCCTCCCCAAACCCGGGGAGCCCAGACCCCCACCTTTTCCGGGAGCCCCCAAAGAGCAGGCAGGCGATGGCCTTCTTCATGTCCGTGCCCCCGAAGATGGAGGGGGCAATGCTCTTGGAGATGACCTCGTAGACATTGGGGAGGGCAGCCAGCCGCCGGAACTCCTCCTCCTCCTGCGGGGTCACGGCCCCAGCAAAGCTGCGGCCTGGGTGGGGGGGAGGGGGGAGGGGAGAAAGGGGAGGGAGGGTGCATGAGAGCTGTGTGAGGGAGAACTTGGTGCTGCTCAGGGCGTCTCAGAGGGGAGGATTGGGGCAGTGCAAGCGTCAGCCTAAAGACAGAGCCCCCGCCCCCCAGGAGTGGGCTTGCAAGTTCCAGGGTCCAGTGAGTGAGGGGAAGAGTCGGGGGAGTCAGAGGAGCCAGGGGGTCAGATTGTGGAGGCCCCTGTGGACTCCTGGGAAGTCGTCCATCTTGCAGAGAGGGGTGGGGTGCTCTCAGCCAAGGAATGACGTGGTGTCTTTGGTTATGACAGCACCACTCACCCTGACCACTGTGTGGAACAGTGTAGGGGCAAGAACAGGGAGGAGGCCCAACAATAATTCAGGAAGACAACGTGAGCTCGGCCAGGGCGCAGCACAGCCTTTTGGCAGGACCCCAAAGCCAACTCACCAGAGCCATCTGTGTCCACCTGGATGCCCAGGACACGGATGTAGGAGCTCCGGATGCCCACGCCCACCCTGTCTCGGCCCTTGCTGGAGGTCAGGCCAAACTTCTTAATGGAGTAGATGCCCATGATGGTGACCCTGTTCCCGGGGACGACCTTGTCACACAGGTACCTGAGAGGTCGATGGGGAGGAAGGGGAAAAGCAGGTGAGAGCCGGGTGGAGACAGAGTCCTGACTCTCCCCACCCTGACACGCAGTCCACTTAGCATTTCTACCAGAGGCCTTACAACCTGAGCTGCTCCAGACCTGTCCTTCCCATGGGCACAGAAAACGGGTCTCTCCCCCTCATCACAGCCTACCCCCTGCTTGGGAAACTCAGTGACTTGGAGGACAATGATGACAATCCTTGGTGACGTGCCCCTGCCACTGCCTTCACAAGCTCATTTGTTATGCTGCTCGGGGTCAGAGGGGAGCCTACCCCGAGCCCTCGGAAGTCCCGTCTCAAAACATTTGTCTAACCACTATGCTGTACCCCTGAAACTAACACAAAATAATATTGAGATTGGGGGGGATGGGGGAGGTTGGTGGTGTGGAGGGATTGAGCAAAAAAGAACTCATGGTCATGGGCAACAGTGTGGTGATTGTGGGGGAAGGGGGTGGGTAGAGGTGGAAGAGGGTATGAGGGGACTAAATGGTGATGGGGAAAAATAATATTGAACGTAAACTGTAACTGAAAAATGAAATTTAAAAAGTAAAAATAATGGGGGCAGGAGCCGGCGGGGAGAGGTCAATGGGGAAAATGGAGACATATGTAGTACTTTCAACAATAAAAAATTTAAACCTCCCCCCAAAAAAGTAAAGATAAAATAAAAATAAAAAGGCCCCCTCCATCTCTCTGCTGTCAGCCTCGTCGCAGGGTGCCCCTTAGCCACCTCAGGGAAGCCTTCCCCTGCCCCCCCAGCCTCCCCGCAAGGACTACTCCCATTTCTGCCCCTTCATGGCTCCAGGAGCTCGGCCAAGTCCTTTTTCCTCTGGACTTTCGTTTCCTCTTTTGAAAAATAAGATGTTGAAACAAGGAAGTCTTGGGCATGGAGGAAACACTGGGACACTGCCACTCAGAAGCCATGTGATGGCAAAGAAGTCACTGCAACTCTCCGAGCCCAGAGATAACACCTGGTCTGACCTGCCCGACTGCTGTGGGACCCAGTGAGGTCACAGGCACAGGCACAGGCACAGCCTCTGAGGACTGTCACTGTCAGTGCTTCAGCAGAGGGTTGTAGGACTCCTCTCTCATGTCCCACTGAAGCTCTGTGGGTCACAGACAGCTGGGACAAAATCTAATACGTACGCACCCTTAGCCTGTATAAGAAACTGTACTCAGCGTCTGACGTGCATTTTCCATTTTAAATCTCACAGCAGCCCGATGAGAGATTAAGGACTGTCAAGACTGATCCCCATTTTACCGATACAGAAACCGGGGCTCAGCAAGTTCATGCAACTTGCTTAAGAGTCTGACTTCTACAGGTTCTACTGCCACCGGAGAAGCTAAGGAGCCCTGGCCAGTGAGGCTCAGTTGGTGGTGTTGTCCCATGCACCAAAGGTTGCCGGTTCAATTCCTGGTCAGGGCACATGCCCAGGGTGTGGGTTCCATCCCTGGTCATTGATGTTTCTCTCTCTCTCCCTCTAAAAATCAATTAAAAATCTTTAAAAAAAAAAAAAAAATGAAGCAAATGAAACCTCCAAGTCTGCTCTCCAGAAAAATGCACATGCACAGAACATTTGTGCAGCCAGGGTGTGCAAGCCCCAGTTCAGGACCCTCGTCACCATCTCCAGACCTTCTGCCCGTTACTGTAAGGGGACTAGGCTCCAGCTCGGCACCCTCTCCCTCTTTCCAATGGCTCAACAAAATCCAAGGAAGAATCTTAACAGCGAGGCGGGGGCAGGGGCAGGGGCAGGGGCAGGTGTCAGGCTGGGATGAGGCCTCCCAGCTGCTGGTTATCTAGCTCCTGGTTATCTAGCCTCCTGGAGCCTCCCGGTTCTAAGAAGGCTGAGAGTCTTCCAGGAAGATCACAGGCTCAAAGCTCCTCCAGAGTCAGTGACATGTCCTCAATCAGCAAAAGGGGGGCTGACATGCCCACAGGTGATGGGAAGACGACAGGAAACTGAAGGAAGTACCAGGCACAGAGCAAGTGTCCCCTAACCAGCCACCCTCTCCTCCCCACCCACCACGCTGGATGGTCCACACCCAGCACCAGTTTAGGGCACAGCCAGGGACGCCGACCGCGTGGGTGCCCACCGGCAGCTGCCTCACCTGTCGCAGTAGAGCTGCATGTGCCTGGGCATCTCACCGTGAGGCACTGCGTCAGGCAGCTCCTGCAGCTTCAGAGTCTGGAAGTCCACGCACTTGCACTTGTCGGGCATGATGAAATACGGGTCCAGCGGGCACCTGGGGCGCCCAGCCTGATCCCTATATGGGGAAGAAGAGTCACCAGAGCCACCCTGAGAACCCAGAGCCCATCCCAGGAGTCAGCAACAAGGCCTGGTTGGCAGCAAATTAAGGATAAACTGGGGAAAGACCCTAAAAGGTAGCTCTGGGGGACCACACACCAGATTAAGAGTGGGAGACCTGCTCCGGGCCAGGCTCTTCCATGAACTTGCTGGGAGGCAGACAAGTCACACTCCCAGTCCCCTCACAGGGTCTCAGTGTACCCACAGGTAGAGAGGGTCCAGACTGCTAATTACCTTACTAATCCCCCAGTCAAATCCCAGGATCCCTAAGGGTCTGGGCACCTGGAGACCTTTCCCAGGTCCAGGCCTCTATATACCCCTATATAACGAAATCAGTACTTAACTACTGTAGCACTATCACAGCAAAACACCTACTATGTGTCAGGCACTATTCTAGGTGCCGGGGACACAGCAGTGGACAAAAAGTCCCTTGCCCGTATAGAGCTAAGGTTCTAGTCAGGGGAGACTGGAAAACACCCGGCAAATAACTACATAACATAATGACAAGGAGCTCTGTGCCTCTCCCACTGGGCGCCCCCTGCCCCAGCCCCTCGGAGCAGCATCCTCATCCTTCACATCTCCACTCACATCACCTCCTCACAGTCCCGGAGGCCGCTCAAGGCCCACTCACGTGTTGCACTTCCTGGGCAGGGCGTAGCCCTCCAGGCCGGGGTGCATGGCGATGTTGGTGAGGGTGTTGCGGCAGCTGCGGCACTGGATGGAGATGCGGGTGGCCTTGGCGCGGACCCCAGACGCGGAGATGATGATGCCAGGGATCTTCACCAGGTGTGACATCATGTCTGACTGTAACAGAGCCATGGGAGGATGGTGGGTTACAGAGAGCCAGGTACACCTGAGATTATGCATGCAAGCCTTTTTTTAATGCACACTGAAATATTTAGGGATAAAGTGCCATGTCTGTAACTTACTTTACAAAATACTTTGGAGGGGGGGGAGATGAGAGAAAAACCAAAGAAGGCAAAATGTTAACAGCCATTACATTTAGGTGAAAGTATAGATTCATTACACTATTCCCTACCTTTTTGTAATATTTAAGAATAAAAAGCCAAAAATAATGAAAGTTTTTTTCCCTCATCTTTTCCCCCTATTCCCACTAGTTTTTCCAGGACAGGCAGACAGGCTACAGGTACATGCTGATGCCCTTCCCCCAAAGCCTGCAGGGAGGGGAGAAACAGAGGAGGCCAGCCCCACTCTAGTAACTGAGGCCAGAGCCCCAAGTGCCTGCCATGGCCCAGGGGTCACTGGAACTGCTGAAACCACCAGATCATGTTTTCTAGAAAACAATCGACAAATCCTGGCACTCAGAGTTGGAAAGGACTGGGGTTGCCTTGGCCCGGCCTCTAAGGCATCCCTGACAAGTGATCTTCCGAGAGCGGGCTCCGTCCCTTGTTAGGAAACCCATCACCCAAAGCAAGCCATTTCCTGTGTTTCCCAGTGAGTCCGAGACCGGAAGGCTGACGCTGGGAGGAGCGGAGGCTGGCCTCTCTGATGAAACAGCTGCCCCGCAGGGCAAGTCTAACTCCACTTCCACTGAGGGGCCAAACGCGTGAAACCCAGTTTGGTTCCATCAGGTCCTGGAGCGACCTGCCGTCGTGCGAGCCAAGGAAGGCTTCACGGGGACCCCAACAGAGGTCACGGGGGACGGTGGACCCCACTGTGAGTTCACCGAGCACAGGCACGCGCTTCCTTTCATCTTCTCACAACCACCTTGTGACAGAACCAACGCCATGACTTCTCCCTCACTGCTCTCCTGGCTCCACTCCTGCCTAGTCTGTAAATTCTCCTTCCGCACAGCAGCCAGAGGGACCTTTTACAAGTGCAATCAGCCTGCTCTTCCACGTAACCCTCCACTGGTTTCCTACTGGGATTCAAAATCCAAGCTCCTTCCTCCAGCGGAAAGGCCCGGCCTCCTGGCCTCTCCACCCCTCTCTTCCTTTCCTTTTCCCCCATCGTCACTCCCTGGGCTCTGGCTACACTGGCTCCTTCCTGTTCCTGAAAACAGCCCTTGCACCTGCTTCTCTGTGAGCCCGGAGTGCTCGTCCCCAGGCTGTGTCCCTCGAGCTGCGGCATCGCTCAGACTCGCGCCCCCAGCACTTCCTCGAAGGCCTCCCTCAGCCACTGACATGCAGCCCGATTTCTTCTCTTCATGACTCACATCCCAGAACCTGCCATCACCTCCGTGCTCGTCTGCTTCTCTGTAAGCGCCATGGGACAGGCCCTGTCTGTCTGTCCACAGTGAGTCTAGCCCCGCACCTGGAGTGAGGCACACTCAGGACTTGCCGAGTTAAACAGATAAACGGCTGGATGACAGACAGGCTCTGCCCCTCTCCTGCTTCCTCATCCCTCTGCAGCCATGCTCGCAGGCTTTCAACATGGCCCTGCACATCGCATGCCCTCCTCACCTCTGCACTTTGCACTAGCGCACACCTCCCCGACCCACCCCATGCTCTCTCCCAACGGTCTGTGTGCTGCTCGTTCCCATCCTCAGATCTCACTCAGATGTCAGCTCCCCAGAGCCTTCTCCATCCTTTCCAGAGAGGCTCCCACTTGCTCGGCACCCTCATTTCCTCCCATCACCTACAATTGTCATGGTGCTGTTTACTAGTTCCTCGGTCTCCCCGGGGCAGTAATAAACTCGGTGAGGACAGGGGCATGTCCTTTAATTCACTGTTGTTCCTCTAGGATCCAACGTAATGCTCTGCCCACAGGAGCAGCTCAGTAAACACTTGTCCAATGAGTTAAATTCGATTACACGGCTGGCACCCAGGTAGGTCAGCCTGAGGAAGCAGGAGAGGGGCAGAGCCGCTGCCACCCTCCACCCAACCTCTGAGCAAACCCACCTTCAGGCTGCGAATGCTGGACGGGCTGGCGTCCGACTTGAGCATGACCTGGATGTCCTGGAGCACCTCCTCACCACTGGGCCGGGGCCGGGTCACCTCATCGGCCACCTCCTTGGCAGCTTCCTCCAGCTGGAGGAGGAAGGGAACAGGCTGTCAGTGCCTGGCGCAGGGCAGCCCAGGGGGGGGATGGAGGACAGCGTCCCACTCACCAGCTGCAAATGCTCCGTCGGCTGCTTGTACAAGAAGTCGGCCAGGTCCTCATCAAAGCTGGCCAGGTCCTCCATCTCCACCTCGATCCAGTACTCCCCCAGGTTGTAATGCCGCTTGAGTTCATCCCTGGAGTGGGCAGGTGGCAGTTGAAGGTGGGTAAGGGTGCAGAGAAGAGGACGGAACGCTGGCTGAGGTGCACTGCACCCTGAATGTGCCCTCACGGCCACCAGCACTGCTCCCCCACTTCTCGTCCCAGACACGTCGAATTCCAGGTGGTTTCCCGGCTTTACCCCCCAGAGGCCCCCGCTGCCAGCAGAGGCATCCTCCACAGAGAGCTCCGTGGAAGCACGTTTCAACACTCAGACTGGCCTCTGCACGCAGGTCAGTTTGGGCAACTCTCACCGTAAACCAGTGCCTTCATTTCAGGACTCCTTGGAGCCTTTAACTAGCTCAGGAAACTAACAAGGTTCACTCCTCAGAACTTGGAGACTGAAGGCAGCACACAGGATACACACCATGTGTGTGTCCCGTCAACCACCAGACAGACCCTTCTTGCAGAGTATCCCCTGGGACTATCGTCCCCAAAAAACACATTTGGGGACACAGACCTTCACAGAGCCTGCCCCAGCCTCATCTCAGGCCTCATCCCCTTCTGCCTTATGCCTGGAAGCCATAGAAAACTGCCAGCCTGGTCCACAGGGCCCTTGCCCTACCAGGCCACCTGCAACTGCTGTGCAATGCTTCCCTCCCCACCCCCCCCACCCCGTCAGCTCAGGGGTCACCTCTGGAAGCCTCGCCTAACTCATTTACATTCCTTCTTTGGGGTGACTCTCACCTAGTACTTACTTGTTGGTCTCTATCCCTCGCTCCCACTGGCCTTGAGGGCGAGCAGCATGAATCTTTTCCTATCTGTGTCTCAGTATCTGGCACAGCGCCAGGCAGATAGATGGTCAACATCAGCTGGCACATGAATAAATGGAGGCAGGAAGGGCTATGCCCATTTTACAGATGAAGAAACCGAGGACCGGAGAGACTGTCACTTGGAAGTCACTCCGCCAGAGCCTGGACCTGCAAACTCCTATTCTCTGCATCTAAAGGACCGACAATGACAGATGGTGCAAGGACCGGGAGCAGGGGCTGCCCAGCTCCTTCAGGGCTGCAGCCCAGCACCTGGAACAGAGCCTGGCATGCAGCAGGTGCACCGTCAATGAGGTGACACGACTGGAGTGAGTGAGTGAGTGAATGAATGAATGAATGAATGAATGAATGAATGAGTGAATGAATGAATGAGTGAATGAATGAATGATGTAAATCATAACCCCCATCTTCACCTATTGCACATTGAGAGCTTGAGTTTGAGGTGTCTGACGTTAAGTGGAAGGGCAGTAAGAAGACGACATCGGAACAAGATCTGGAACAAGAGCCACAGGCCCAGGGACCCTAGCTGGGTCACTGGTGGCCCACTGAGCAGGTGACTCACTCCAACGTGAACTTCGGGTATGAAATATGCAAAACTGCACCCCACCGGGTGCGGGTCGGAGAAGCACCGCTGGGACCAAGCGCCTTAGAACCGGACGGGCTCCTTCCCCTGCCGCCAGCCGTCCCCCCCACACCCCCCGCCCGGAGCCTGGACTGTCGGTGCCTCCAAAGGCTGTGCGCCCACCGGCAGAGGTTCGGCGCCGCTCCCCCGCCCCAGCCGCACCTGTACTTGAAGGTGAAGCCGGTGCGGTCGGTGCCCACGCGGTACTGCCGCAGGAACTCCTTGAAGCGCCTCTGCAGCTGCGATTTGCGGGCCCTGCCCTCGTCGGCCGCGGGGTCGCCCCCGAAGCTGTCGCTGTAGAACACGCCGGGGTCGTCGAAGCCCGACATGCCTGCACCTGGCGCGGGGACAGGGCGCTGGAGCGGACGGCGGGACGCGCGGCCTCCCCCCGCCCCGACGCAGGGGCCTCGGCTCGGAATTCGGGGCGGGGGGTCCCGGCTCCCACTCAGGGCGAGGGGAGGGGGAGAGGGAAAGGGAGGGGGAGGGGAGGGGAGGGGAAGGGAGGGGAGGAGAGGGGAGGGCGGGGGGGAGGAGGAGGGGGATGGACCCTGGTTTCCCCCCCTCCCCCCCATCCCGACCCCGGTCCTCCCGGGAGAAACCACTGCCCACCCCCACTGCAGTCGCCTGCGGACCCCCAGTGGGCCAGCTCCCGGGCCCCCACTCGCCAGTCCCACCGGCCTCACCTCTCCTCTCTGCACCCCACGAATTCCGAGAGACAAGCACCCCCCAAGCCCCGCCACAGAGTTTCGCGGGGAAAAACCAGACGCCGAGTTCGCACGCCGCGGCCGCTGCGTTCCCATTGGCTGGCCTGGGCTCCGCGGACACCGATTGGACCGCTCTGCGCCCTCTAGCCCCGCCTCCCGGGCCGGCATTCCTAGACGATTGGCTTCTGGGCTCATGATGTCAGGCTTCCGAGACCTTTTCCGGGCTCCATTTTGTCGACCTGCGATTTGGCGCGAAATTTCTGGCAAGGGGGGGCGGGGGGATGGGCGGGACGAGCGGGAGGGGCGCCAAGATGGCGGGGGGCGGGGCGCCGGGGGCGGGGCGCGGGGGGGACTTCCGGTGCTGTGCGCAAGCCTCTCCAAGTCTCTGCTGTCCTCGCCGGCGGGGCCAGGACTTGGCAGCTGGTGCCGAAGGATATCCCTTGCGTGCATGCTTGTCCCGGGACTGTGCCCGTGGGAGCTGTCACTCAACGGCACAGAGAAAAAACAAAATTAAAATAAACAAAAGTCTCCGAGCCCAGGAGGTGGCGGTTCGACTCCCGATGAGGGCACTCGCCCAGGTTGGGAGCTCGACCCCCAGGAGGGGGCTTGCAGGAGGCAGCCGATCCGTGATGCTCTCTCATCATTGATGTTTCTCTCTCCCTCTCCCTTCTGTTCTGAAATCAATAAACGTATTTTTAAAAAAGAAAGAAAGGCCGAAACCGGTTTGGCTCGGTGGATAGAGCGTCGGCCTGCGGACTGAAAGGTCCAGGGTTCGATTCCAGTCAAGGGCATGTACCTGGGTTGCGGGCACATCCCCAGTAGGAGATGTGCAGGAGGCAGCTGATCGATGTTTCTCTCTCATCGATGTTTCTAACTCTCCATCTCTCTCCCTTCCTCTCTGTAAAAAATCAATATAATATATTAAAAAAAAAAAGAAAGAAAGAAAGTGGCCCTTTCAGAGCTATGGGGTGGGAGAGCCCATGAGAAGTACACACCTGCGGTGGGAGCCTGCCCCCCTGGGGCAGGGCCTGCACACCAGCCCGGTTCCCCGGGACCCTCTCCTCCAGGGCGGTCATCGGACTGGCCACCTAGTCTCCCCTGCGCAAGCGGGTCACACTCGCGGGCGCATGCCACCCACAATAAATATTTTTGCGGCCCAGCCAGAAACGAAACTTAATAACTTAATTTTTACAGTATCCTGTTATACATAATCATTAATAACGAACTACAACGTCCGCCAATGACTGATGACTATGATCGTGTTGCATTCATTTCCCCTACGTGCAGGTGCACATTTCTCTCTACTAATACCAGCCGCGAATATTTTAGCGGCCGATGGCCGCGTCATTAGTCTTGCACTGACTTGTTTGGTGTGCGCAACAGGAAATATTTCGCTTTCGGAGAACAAGAAAAATAGGTTTACTTGCGTTACGCTTCTTTGTTTGTGCAGTTATTCAGTGTCTGGTAAGTTAATGTTCAAGAAAAATATTAATTTTTATTAAAATTCTATTATTTTGTGTTAATGATGACTCATTTATTTCAGCCCTCTGTATTCAGCATGTCTCTATGGAAATAAACGGGCGTTTCTATGAAAATTGAAGCTTTTGTTTTTTGCGGCCCACATAAACGTACACCTTGTTTATTCGGCCCGTGTTTGCCTTTGAGTTTGACATGCTTGTCCTAACCGTTAGGGCCTAACACACCTGGGACCAAAGTCATCCGATCGTGGGACTTGACATTTTCATAAACCCAGATGGTGTTTTGTTTTATTTTAAATGGAAGATTTTAAATTATTTGGACGCGCTTAACATTTGCGAAAATTCACGATCAGATTCCCAACCTAGCTTGAAAAATAGGGGGATTTGGCAAAAATGGACGCATGCTCCAGCAGCAACAAGGTCTGCGTAATCTCCCCCGTGTTTCGTTTCCATCCCCCAACACGAACTGGGAAGCACTTTTTTCTTTGCCACCACGTTCACACAAACATATGCTTATGGGGAGTGTTTACAATGTGTACTTTTACAGTGTATAAAAAAAGATATCAAACCCTGTCTGGTTTGGCTCAGTGGATAGAGCGCTAGCCTGTGGATTGAAGGGTCCCGGGTTCGATTCCAGTCAGGGGCACATGCCTGGGTTGTGGGCTCCATCCCCAGTCGGGGGTGTGCAGAAGGCAGCCAAGCAATGATTCTCTCATCATTGATGTTTCTACCTCGCTCTCCCTCTCCCTTCCTCTCTGAAATCAATAAAAATATATTTAAAATATATATATAACAAACGAATTTGAAATGGGCTTTTCTCACTGACACTTCACGGAAGCCCCTCTGAGTGGACAGAGATGGAACTCGTTCTAGTTGAGAGCTCCTGAATTTCCCAGTGTGAACATAATGCAGATTATTCAGCCATTTCCCCATTAGTACAATCCCAGGTGGTTTCTCTCCACCCCGCCACCCCCCTTCCTGTCTTTGTCACTACAAACAATGAATGCCTATGCCCTTCAAGGAAAACGGGAGGATGGGTCTTGGGTGCCTACCATGTACACACACATCTCATAAACAAACAGCGGCTGCTGGGCCTGGTCGCCCTTGGGAGCTTGTCATACCGTAAACATGAGTCCAGACTCCAGCCCAGCCACCTTTCCAAAACCAGAGCCTCCAGGGTGGGGCCCAGGGCTCCCGGGGGTGTGGGGAGGGTTCTGATGCCACCATCCGTCTGCAGACTGGCGTTGGGACACCGCTGGGCCCTCCCACCAGCTGTGGGAGGGAGGTGTGTTATTATTTTGCCAGTAAACAAAAGGAGACTAAGTGATTTGTCCAAGGTTCGGCACTTAGTGACAAAGCAGGGGCAGGGACAAAGGACCTGCTAATTCCCAGTCCTTGTGTACTGGTTTTTCTTATTTATTGATTTATTTGCTTTTATTGATTTCAGAGAGGAAGGGAGAGGGAGTTAGAAACATCAGTGTTGAGAGAATCATTGATCAGCTGCCTCCTGCATGCCCCCCTCCGCCCCCCGCCCCCCCCCCCCCCACACACACACACATACAACCCAGGCATGTGCCCTTGACTGGAATCAAACCCTGGACCCTTCAGTCCACAGGCCGACACTTTATCCACTAGGGCTCATGTACTAGTTTCTAAGGGAGTGCCTTGTCCCCTGCGCTCCCCAAGACCCCTTCAGCAAAAGGCTTTCCCTCTCCCAGATGGGGGAGAGGGGTGCATTTGTAATATTCCAGTGGCTTTGGGGACTTTGGGAAAGGCTTGGGTTATGGATGGAGCTGGGCAGACAGGCGTAAACCCTTCCTAACCCTCAGAGCATGGTAGCTCTCCTCAGATTTGCTGTGAGAATTCAATCAGATGACATAGGTGAGGTGACGGGCAGTACAAGGCTCACTTAGCAAGAACTCAAAACCCTGGTTGCAGGGGGTAGGGGAGGCCAGGGGATTGTCAAGGGCGGGGGGGAAAAAAGGACACATATGTAATACCCTTTGTAATACTTTAAGCAATAAAACAATAAAAATAAAAATAAAAAAACCCTGGTCGCCCTTGTTTCATTATGTACAGTGTTGGCATGTCACATGCATCCTACTTGCTTCTTGAGACAGGCAGGCGAGGCCTGTTTTCATGCTACAGGTAACAGAACTGAGTCCGCAGAGAGGTTCACGACTAACCTTAAAGGCAGAGCTATGCAGCAGAGCAGCAGGGACTTCAGCCCAGGGTCTCGCCGGGTCCCTAAGATTCCCAGTACAGGACTCAGACCGTATCCCAGAACCCGCTGGTGTCAGCCTAAGAGGGCGAGCCCATCCTCAGTCCAGGGGAGCCTTGCATCAAGCAGGGTTCACCAGAGTTGCCCACCAACTGCTTGAAGCTCACCCACCAACACTCAGAACAGAAAACATCCAAACCAGCCCACGCCACCCACACCGTCATCCCTGCTCCCCCCGTTCAAGACACAAGTGAGGGAAAGGCCCGCTCCCCAAGGGGCACAGAGCCAAGAACAACACTTCACGTGACTATCAGTCAATGCAGTTTATTATTCACAACGTTAGAGACCAAGGCCACAGTGCTGTTAAACACCTCCCCCAGCACCCAACCACCCCACCCCCAAACCCACCCCACCCTGCTATTATAACAGAACACAACAAAATGCCACAGGCAGGCTGAGCTGGGAACAAAAAGCAGCTCCAACAAAAACAAGACAAACACAAGACACAACATCCTGGCACATTTATATGAAAAGTGCCCACAGGGCAACGGTCATGGCACGTCAACAAGCAGACCGTGAACCCGGGGCGCTTGGAGGTTCGGGCAGTTGCTACTTCTGGCCACGTCTTCTGGGCTCTGCTGCAGGAACGGGGAGGGGGGGAGGGGGTGTCTGAGGGCCCGGCAGGACCCCTCGGTCCATTATGGAAGTTCAGGTCATCGGCTGGATGTGCTTTTGGTTGGGAAGACGGCGCCGACTCCTTCCTCCCTGCCAGAGAGGGGGGCATGGGGGTGCGGGAGGAGCGGACAGCTCCCCATGCCCACGGGATCTGCCCTCTCTAGAAAGAGGGCCCTCCGCTCGAGTCCATGGCCCAGGAGCCAACGCGTTACGTTCACATGGCGTAAAGCCCCATGGCAACCGTTGCCACC